CCGTGCCTGAAGGCACAGCGCAAATAATATTGGTATACATACTTTACAAAAATCAATTAACATAAATTAGTAATATTGGTATCACATCCTTTGTAAAAAAAATCAATTCAAAATGATAATAATTTCACTGCTATAGCAATCAATTATAATAAATCAGTTCAAGATGACAATAATTTCACTGCAATATAAAACTCCACACATAAGACTTCTGCCACCATCTACGGTAATACCACCGCCGGCCATGACTTCAGCAAGTATCGTACGATGGTGGTTCAAACATTTTTTTGAGTCGTATGTATTTAAATATTTTTTTTGATTAAAATAATATTAAAAGACAAAATGAGTTAAAATAATATCAAATTCATAATTATTTTACATTTTTTTTCTCATATACATCATATCTAATTATAAAAAAAATTAACAATCTTGCTAAACATAATTATTTCCTTTTCAAATGTCAAGTATCAATGGTGGTGGACAGTCACGAAGCGGAGGCGGCAATGAATCCCTTCTTTCGTTCATGCTTTCTCTCTATTCTTTTTTTTCACTCTATTTCATCTTAAATTTGTGATTTGATTTTGTTAAATCATAAGAAATCAACACCCATTTCAAAAGCTTTTTTCAAAACCATAAAAAATCGACACTCATTTTCCATTAAGAAATTAAATCCATTCCATAAATCAAACTGAAAATAAAAATATATTTCTAAAATCAAAACCCATTTTATAAAGATCAACTATTATTTCAGACCTAAAACTTTTTAAAAAATTAAATCCAAATCCATAAGCTGCATAAAAAAAAATCTATATACATAAAAAACAAACAGAACACACATACAGCAAGATAACACAATATTTTAACTAATTCCTTAAAACACCCCTGTAATTATTGAAACTTGTCAAATAAAATTAAATCCCACTTATTTTTATGTGTAAACTTTAACATAATTAGTCATTGGAGGTGCATTAAAAAATTAAGAGAAGAAGATGACAAAGAATATGCTTCGGATATATCTCTCTATACATGGAAAACATGGATGAGTCAATTCTCAAAAGAGAAAGATAAACATTGGTCAGTGGGGACAAATAAAACAAAAAATAAAAAAATGAGTTTCACATTCCAATTATTCCTTATCTAAACAACCCTCATCTACTAAAGCCAAACTTAGCCAGACGTGGCGCCCCACAACACCACATCCCCTCGCTCTATCCTCTCTCTCTAGATCTCATCCATGGCTACCTCTCTTCCCATTTTCCTTCTATTCTCTTTCACTTTCCTCTCACTTTCTCTCTCTCTTAGAAACCCAATTCACAAAACATTGGTATAGTTCTTCCTGTGATGAAAGATGTCTCAACACTCCAATATGTGACCCATATGCATCAAACAGTCACACAACACAGTGGATGTCATTTCTCTCTCTCCAAGTTAGCGTGAGGAAAGAAGGGAGAGTTAAAAAGGCAGGGAGGAGAGTGGGGAGCTCTCCAAAAACGTTGGCAGTAGCCTGATGTCGATCCATCCATAGTAACAACGATGATGAGCGGTGGCAGCGGTGATGAGCAGTAGCAGTGGAGATGACTGGAGGAAGTGGCGTTGTGCGGTGGCGATGACTAGAGGAGGTGATGAGAAGCACCATGGCTGGGTCGCGAAAGAGTCGTCGAAAAGAGATGTATCACCGTCGGAGAGGGAAGTAAGGCAGAGAGAGGGTGGGTGTTTTGAAATTTGAAAATTGGGAATGAGACTGAAAGATAAAGAGAGGAGAGTTTATAGAGAGTTTGATGAGTGTGGGTGTTTTGAAACTTGAAAATTGGGAGTGAAACTGAAAAAAAAAAAGAGAGGAGAGTTTATAGAGAGAGTTCCATGAGCTTGGGTCTCTCTTCTGTAGGGAGTGGATGGGTGTGTTTTGAAATTTAAAATGTGAAAAGGTGAGGTGCGACAGATGAGAATGGGTGGTTACAAAGTTTGTGGCTCTTGGGCGGGAAGTTCAGGCAGAGTGAGAGAGAAGGTTTTCATCTCAACTGTCCATCTAAATACAAAAATGAATCATGACCATTAAAATGTCCTAGTAGGACAATTGTCTCTAGGATAAATTCAAAAACACTCTTCCCTTATTATATAGATTATAATATATATATATATATATATAAGAAAATATATCACTTATAATAATTTGTATACAACACTCAAAATATATAAAAACACTAAATTATAAAATAAAACTCGTTATCAGACTAATAAAGTATATATTAGCGGGCTACATATGTAACGTTATGGCACTTATCATCTTCCATTTTTTTTTTCATTTTACAATGCTTCAATGGTGTTGTGATTGAAATTGGGTGCATGCTTTGTTGAGAGTCATCACTAACTCTCTTCACTCTCTAGAATCTTCTCTCTAGAATATTCTAGAAGTTTCCATATGAATCTAGAATACTCCGGAAAGATCTAGAAAATTCTAGAAAGACCTAGAGAAATCTGGAAGATTCTATAATATCCTAGAAGGTTTCGGAACATTAAAGAAGTTTGGAGAAAACTAGAGAAATCTAGAAAGTTCCGAAAGGTTATATAATATTTTAGAGAAGAATAGAAAGCTCTAATATGTACTAAAGTAATCTAGATTGTTCTAGAGTGTGGGGAAAACATGAGTGTATTCTATAAACAAAGTTCTTCAACTAGTATAAATATGAGATGAGTGCATGTACTAAGCAAATGGACAATTGGACAATTGAGCGAAAGAAGAGTGAGTCCAAAGTGAGTTGTCAAGCACTATCTAGTGTAAGGTATCTCAAGGTCTTGTGTGAGGAAGACACAAAGTGTGAGTGCTTGAATGTACGTGTGAGTGGATAAGTGAAGTGTATTAGTGTGTGATTGTGTACAAGTGTTTTGTGTACTAGAGTGTTATCAATAAAGGTTGTATTTCTGGGTCCACTAGTGTCTCAAACTCAACATCCTTCACTTAATCATCCATTCTTTGCTGTCCTAGAGGATATCAACTCCGTGGTGAAGAGTTGCCATGACTTATATAGATTAAAAGGCAATTCGTTTTGATATCCTAGGTGTGATACTTTATAATTAACTTGCGTGTAAAATCTTGTTCCTCAACAATTTCTTATAGAACATTGAGTCATATATATTCAGGGACTCGATCATATATGGTGGTGAGATCAATAAAGTTGGTGCTAATTCATTAATGGCAGTAGTGTCAATCAACGCAAGTTCTTGACTTATGAGATTGGCAAGTGAGGGTCCTATTGGCCACTCTTGAAAAATTTGACTCTACCTCTGCCTCTGTCTCTGACTCTCTTCTTCCAAAAGTGGCGCTTCAGGAAGCAAGTACAACAACTACAACATCATTTGAAGAACCATTCTACATTGAAGAACCATTCTAAGATGAAAACTTACATTTTTCTCTAGAGGACTTGAATTTATTACTGTCAAATGGTGACAAGACTCTTCCTTGATAGAAACATGGTGGTTATTGTTTGGAATGTTGGTAATAGTAGTGGTGTGTATATCTACCACTAGGATTCAAAGTGTATTTTTTTAAGAGAAATGCTACTTATCAGTAAAGCACTCTTCTTTTTTTTTCTTGTTGGGTCTTGTTGTTTAGCTTTGTTGACTTTTTTGTTTTTATTTTAAATTTTGATTTTAAATTTTTTCTTTTTGTGAGTTGGTAGGTATCAACTTGTCAAAGGTAGGGATTAGGTTTTTCTTTTTTGTACCTCTTTTAAAAAAAAAAAAATTATTAGCAATGTAAAAGAGCAATTTTATTGATGGATAACAATGAAATGCATTACAATCAACAAAAACAATAGGGAAAATAAGAAAACATAACAAGATCACCTGTAAAAACAAACACACATACAAAAAGGGTTGCAGCCCTTCAAGTTTGCTTGCATTTGTGTTTGTTTTTCACATTAAATAAATTTGGAGTTACGAAAGGTTAGACTCTTTACAAGTAATTTGTGGTTGGAGAATGAATTATAGTCCTTATGACCATATAGACCAAAATGAATGTCCTGCCACAATTTGATAATTTTAAGGGATGAAAAATACACCATTCTTAATTTTGTACAAATATGAATAATTAGATAAACATGTCATTCTGAATCTATGGTTTGTTGGGTATTTTCTTCTTACTAAAAGGGTTTTTGTTTTTTTATGAGATGTGAAAGATTTAAGAAAGGGATAAAGGTGGAATTAGAAAAATCTCTCAGAAACAACTCTCATGCTAACAGAGACAATATTAATGCCCACCCTAGACCCCCAAAACTCTATTTTACAATTTTGAATTCCTAACCCCCTTCAATTCATATATAACAAAAGTCATTCACAAAATAATCTCTAAGGTTGTGTTTGGATGATCGATTTGAGTAAGGATTTTGAAAAGAAAAGGAAAAAGATGAGGGAGATGCGAATGAAACATAAGCTAAATTTTTTCTCCATTTCTCTTTTCTTTTTTAAATCCCTATATCAAAATCCATAAATCCAAACATAGCGTATTTGAAGTAGTGACTCTGTGTCAACTATTTTGCATCTTCATTAGTTGTGAACACTATGATATTTCTAACTCATATGATAATTTTTTATGGATGGAGAGTCCAAGAAAAAAGAAAATAGAAAAAGAAAAAGAAAAACAAGGTGAAATTACTGTTCAATTGTAAATTTAAAAAAATTATTACACATTAATGAAAAAAATGAATATAACTATTCTCAAACCCTTCTGTTTTAAGTTGAATTAGAAAATTTGAATCATAAAAACAAAATTGATCTTTGTTTTTAGTCATGCTTTTTCACGTATGAAATCTTCATCAATACATATAAATGGTTTGAGAGAGAGAGAGAGAGAGAGAGACCAATCCCTTTTTTTCATTTACTGAAACTCAAATAACATAAATGTGTTTAGGAATTCTTCTATAACACAAACTACATGAGAATTTCTCATAAAAAGTACAAAAAAATAACACCAGATAGGCACTCATCTGCAACATTTTTACACCATGTTAAATGTCTCCAACAAAATTGAAGAGAAGATTTATAGGATCAGGCATGCCCTTCCCAGTTTTGGCGTCATATGTCTTTTCGAACACCAGATCCATCGGAGTATCCTTGGGGCCAACTGAAAAAACAAACAAAAACAAGCCACAACATCACATTAGACCTTCAATGAAAATTAGATTTGAACAAATGACATCAAGGGCTACTTTTAAATTCAAGTGTCAAACAATTATATTCTCAAAAAAAAGTCCAGCAATTATTTTGTACTCTAACAAGAAACTGTAATTTAAGAACGATTTCTAAATAAACAACTACCGGGGGCCTTCAAGAAGTTAGCAAGGACCGTACTAAAGGTTTCCAATTGAGTGAAAGCTATTCAGAGACAGTATCAAAGTTGAATTCCATCCAAAAGTTACTCATCTTCCAAATATTCTCTTAAGTTTCAGACATGCCTAACAGAAACTATGGCCTTTTTATTTTCCAACTAAACTAAATATGATAAATAGAGAGAATGTTTTGAATGCTCTCATAACTGAAAGAACTGTTTGAACTATACACGTAAGCCCTGGCAATATGCAGTCAAGAAATCACAACATACACAACGGCTGCAAAATCAACACAAAAACCCATGTTGACAGGTTACTGCCTTAGAAAGGCAAAAAAATTATGGAAAGTGAAAGTACTAGAAAGTGAAATCAATGAAAGAAAAATGAAGAGAGAAGTAACTTTTCAATATGCATTTGGTTGGGTAACAAGTTTGTCCAAGATGTTATTTGAATATAATGAAATTTAAAATTTTATTGTGCGTATATTAACCTCATCCATATGTCTACAAGACAAAAGTTAAATATAATCGAGCAGCTTAGGAAGGTGCCACTCACCTGATTTTTCCCCTCAACAATCAAACAATTTTGAGAGTGAATGACATGCTTAACAACTCCAGTCCCACCTCTATCTTTACCCCTGGTTACCATCACCTGCAAATTAAGAGAGGGAAACATTCATTTAAGATGAGAACAGGGCGGAGAATAGAGCCATACAGGTACAAAGAGGAAAATAATCCTCTCTCTTTTTCTTATGTTATCTCCTCTGAAAATCTTCCAGTGGTGTATGAGTTTCTGAGCTACTCTCCAACACATTTCAAATTAAAGTTATAATCAAGGATTAACCAAGTAGTATTAGCATTTAGCAATATTAGCATGACATGGCTAATAATTATTTTAACTAGTAGATGGTCAAAATTAAATAATAAAATTGAAAAGAACATGTCAATTTACTAAGCATATGAGATTGCAAGTCTAATTCCAATGGAAACCACTCTTTGCAAATCATATAAAGGTAAGAGCTAAACCTAGTCTACCCCCCATCCCAGCACACCCCAGTGTAATGGGATCGTTCCGGGTAATGCGTTTAAGATCATAGTTTAAATCCCACATTATGTAACATTCTGCACTAAAAATGGTATAAAAATTCGGACTTTGTTGGGTTATATTCCAAATCTCCCATAGCTACGTGATTGTGATGCTAAATGTCATGGAACATAAAGCTGATAATCAATTTTTCTTTACAGTGGTGGAAGCTAGAACGACTGAAGAATGTATACTTTAACAATAAAGGAAAATTCAAGTATAAATAGAAAACATCTGAACACACCATCATCATAACCACACACACAAACTTTACTCAACCCAATAATTAGTAATTTACTTTGAACATCAATGTGAGCCGCAATAATTAAAGGTTGAATTGGCAAACAAGCAAAATTAAGATTTACTAACATAAAAACTGAGACTTTTTACAGATTTTTTTTTTAATTCAAAAAATTTTAAATTTCTAGATTTGGCTTGACAAAACGAATCAAAAATGAAAAAAAATTATAAAAAATCTAAAAATGAAAAGGATAAATAAAAAATATTAAAATATTTTTAATTTTTTTTTTTACTTTATAAATTCATCTACAGAAGACAAATTAGAAAAAAAAAAATCAATATAGAAAAAAAATCAAAAAAATAAAATTGACTTATTTAGTTTACTCCAAACAACCCCTTAAAAAATCAAATCAATCGATGGGTTAATTATTAGAAGAACATGTATACCATTAAATCTCACAAGTGTTTGTATTGATAAAAAAATCGTAAAAAAAAAGTAACATTTAGTGATGTTTTTCATAATCTGTCGCTAAAATCAAGTAGGGTGTTATGTTGTTATCTAAATTAGTTTATTATCTGTATAGGATAGTTGGCCAGTGATTCGTGTGACTATCTCTTGAGATTACAAGAAATACGGAGGTTTAAAATTTGAGTCAATAGAGTAACTGTGACTTTACTAATCTAAGATTGAGTTATCTCACAGATTAACAATCCAACAAACTCCTCAATCCCTAAACAAGCATAACCTTAATCTTTATTTTTCTAAAATACAATTTTTGTTTTACTAAAAAGTGGTCACCTGACGTCTATCTTTCTTTTCATTTTTTTTTTTGGAACTAATAAGAGAAACCTCATAATGGGTAATGGGCAATAATCCGTAGCAAATAAATCTTTTACAGCTAGGTTTTAAGATTTTGTTGTCGAAGTTATTTATTTAAGAGTAGAATTTCTTTTAATCAATGAAATTCTATGATTTATAGTATTTTTGTAAAAATAATTAACTGTTTTATCAATAAAAATCAAATTAACAACACCACAATATCCTGTCCATGAAAACTTTAATAATTCTTCATAGCAATTCTCATTCTAAGAAAAGACAAGTTTTAAATAATTGATTGTTAAAAAAATGACCAAAATGGTGGGTATTGAAAGGACAATGAGAGACATAATTGAAGAAAAAATGGGACCAAAAATGATGAATGAATATCACGCATCCCCAATCTATATATTATTGGGTGACATATATAATGAGTATATAATTTATATATATATATATATAAATAAATAATAAAAAAATTATTATCACAATAAGTGTGTTGTACTGTTCATAGTGTAATTTTTTTTTAAAAAAAATTAAAATTAAAGATTTTAGGGCACCAAATATATATAAATAATTTTACAAATTCAAATCCATTTTCCTTAAATTAAGGCCTTGTTTGGGATAAATTAAAAAAGTCAAAAAGTCACAATGTTACTAAAAAAAAGCTAAAAAGTCTAGTCTATTCAAGGGTAGCTTGTGGGGAAGTCACTAGGGCAAAATTATTATTTTTTCTTTTGAATTCAACTACTCAAAAAGTCAAAAAGTTAAAAGTCAAAAAGTCAAAAGGATAAAATGGTCATTTTGATTTTTCTATAATATTTTATTATACATCTTTTTGTAAAAGTCAAAAAGTTAACCTAAACATACATCTTTTTTTTTCTCTACTTTTTTAATCAAAAAATCAAAAGCGCACTCATATAGGACATCCCCAACAATTACTAAGTGCGCTGGAAAAGTTGATTTACGGCCACCACTCTTAACTAGGCGATGTCATCAGAGAAATTATGAGGTCGGCAAAAGTACCAAGGATTATAGCGATCCTGATTCTTTCTCCTTTGATTGTTGTATCCGGACTTAGGTTCCGTGGAGTTGGTTTTTGTTTATGTCTTGTTGTCATCCTTTAATTCCTTATATTTGAGTTTTAGGATGTGTTGGGCGTGTTTCGAACAGGTGGGTTGAGTTTTGGTCTCAAGTGTTGTTGCCCAGGTTTTTGTTGATCCGCTCGAGCGGGTCCCTTTGCGCTCGAGCAGAGTTTGCACACCTTCGTAGTTGTCCGTTTGCAAAAGTACTGCAGATGTGTTTTTCACGCTCGAGTGGATTTCCTTACGCTCGAGCGGGTATCCTTGCGCTCGAGCGGGTGTTCAATGTCTGTAAAAAAATACTAGAAGAGTGTAATCTACGCTCGAGCGGGTTTCCCTTTGTGTTCGAGCAGGTGCTTTTTGATTTTGTGTCTTGGCGCTCGAGCTGTTATTTTTGCGCTCGAATGGGTCCAGTTTTTGTGTTTGACGCTTGAGCGTCCTATTCTCCGCTTGAACGGGATAGTCGTATATCAGATGGCAGCTGGGTGATTTTGAATCACTTTTCATATTTCCTTTCTTTTTTTTACTTTTCTAAACCCTCTTTCGAGAGCTCCTCTCTCTAGAATATACCTTATCTCTAGGGATTGATTTAGCTTGAGTGATTCACTCCCTTAGTGTCTTTGCAAAGAGTGTAGAGCTTGGCTTGGGCTTCCTATCAATCTGAAAATCTTGGGTTTTGAGGCATTTCGAGATTTCTTCATCATCTCCTTTGAGGTTCATCTCTTGAGGTAGGGATAACTACTCATTTTTATGAGCTTTAACCTAAATGTCGAGCTTTTTGTATAAATGGTTTGATTTGGGAAGTTAGGGTTTAAGATGTGTTATATTGAAAAGAGGGGTTTTGTCCTTTTGATTCAAACATGTGTGTTTTGGGTCTAAAAAGGAGGTTATTAATGTTGCTGATAATATTTGGACCTTTGGGTCAATGTTGAGAAAAAGAGGGAAAATGCCATGTTTGGGTATATTTGGGTCATTAGTGTAATTAATGACATTTATTATGGGAATATGAAATTGAGTGGGAAATAATGAGATTGGTTCATTATAAGGTAGAATGGTGGAGTTGGATTCATTAATCACTCACCTTTGAAAATGTTGATAAATTATCTGTTAATATAATTATTGTCTGTTTAGAAATAATTGCTTTGGGCTATCGGTGGAGGATAGTCTTAATTGTTGTAGACAATGCATGATAATTAGGCGAATTAAAACTAATCAATGGAATATGTCATTGAATATGATGGTTGGAATAATACATTAAATTTATGTATTAATTGATTATGTATATGATATGTGTTTATATACATTGTGTTGTGTGGGAGGAGATAGGGGATGTACTCCACAGTTTAGGAGGAGATATGGGATGGACTCCTAAACCAGATATTATTTGGGAGGAGATAGGGGATGGACTCCATTGATACAGCAAATATGTGTATCTATTGTGAAGTATGAAAGTATTGTTGATATGAGCTATAGTTTCATTAAATTATTGGCCAGGTTCTGAGCCTTATTCATAAATTGAGAACTGGATAAGTAATGGAAAATGGAATGAAACATGGACATAATTGTCATGTAATTGAGATGAATTATGAATTGATTTATGTGAGTTAAACATTTATCAAATGTTCATGTTTTAGTTATTGCTCATATTATGTTTAGCATATCTCTACTGGGCGTTGGCTCACCCTATATGGGACATCATTTTTCAGGTGCAGGTGCTATGCCACCTCCAAGGACGTAGCTTGGGAGGCTTGAGGCTGTT